ATTCCAGTTTCCTGGAGCCACTGTCACCTGGTGTCTGTGCTGCAGCAGCTGAATGGACCTGTACCTGTTGGGCCACCAACCTCTGGAACTGTGTGAAGGGAGGTAGTAAGTTTTCGTACTGCCTAAGCCACTTAGAGTCAGACTCGCTCTTACTGGAAACCCAGAGCGGCCCTTGCTGATACATGCCATAAATGCTTCTCTCCAGGGATAGAAATGCTAGTGGTTCCTAGTCGTGGGGCACCATTCCCTTAGTTCTAGGGAGAGGAAAAACAAACAGAAAACCATCCAAACCAGACACCATCACACTACCTGTCCCAATTCTTAGTGGCATCTCTGGCCCAGCTCTGACGTGTTCTGAAACTTTGCCACTCAGAGCCTTAGTTTACCAACTCTGTAAAATGGGACCAAATGCTTCCATATTCATGGGTGAGGATAGGACTAAATGACCCGGTACCCCGGTGACGGGAAGGATGGAGGCACCTTGAAAAACACTAACTGCAGGAAGTGGCTTATTAAAAACAAACCAAAACTTTAAAGCAGTGTAGGCACATGGCAAAAAAGAAACTCTCACTCCTACTCCTCATCCTCCATGCCTACTTTTCCTCCCTGGAGATGACATCACCTTCTTGCATATCCTTCCAGATAGCCTACCCATGCACAATTATTTTTAACACAAACAGAACATGCCAAGTACATTATCCCACACCATGTGTGTTCTATTAAGAGTCTAGGGACTAGGGATGTGGCTCAGTGGTAGAGTGCTTGCCTGACGTGCAGGAAACCCTGATTCCAACCCTTTGCATTGCAAACAAACAAACAAGAGTGTGTCTAAGAGACAGCTGCATATAAAGGTCTGTGAGGCTGCCACATGGTTTCTCAGTGGTGGGGCCAAGTGTTCTCTTATGTAGATATACTACTGTGCCTAAAGGTATTTCACCCAACCCCTACTGATGGTGTCTAGATTGCTTTGAGCTTGCTACAATGTATCTTTGAAAGTTCGAAAATTATTCCATCTAACACAAATTCTGGAGAACATTTAAAAAAAAAGAACTGGGAGAATTAATTGATTGATCACCAAGTGAAAAACCATGTGAGTGAGACTTAGCCAGGTCACAGAATAAAACACTACTCTAGTGTTCATATCCCTCCTCCTCCTCCTCCTCCTCCTCTTCCTCCTCCTCCCAATCACTCCTCCAACTCTAAAGGTGACCTCTGTCCCAAACTTTTTTGTAAACACTTGTCTTTTATGGACTGAGGTTGCAGTAGAGTGCTCGCCTAGCATGTGCAAGGTGCTGGGTTCAATCCTCAGCACCACATAAAAATAAATAAATAAAATAAAGGTATTGTGTCCAACTACAACTAAAAAAAATTTTTTTAAAAAAACAAAAGATTTCATTTGAAAAAATTCTAAGGTATGATTACCAGAACAGTACTGGTTACCATTCAGTTACCTGGTTACTGTAAAGTTCCCAGATGTTAATATTTTCCACCCCACAGATGTTCCCATGTTCCCTCTCTCTTTCCGCTTCCTTTCCACACACCTGCATGTGTAGCAAGCCAAGGCAGAGACACAGGAAAGGGCGCCCTGACAAGGTGCTGTCCCTAAGGGGCCGTGTTTACAGGCAGCTCCAGAAAATTTTGAAACTTTGGAAAGTAGGTGCAAATAGGACATTATATGTCACTTATAAATTCTTCAGCCTGTGCCACCAAGAACAAGGGCATTTTCCCTGCACAACCATAACTTCATTCTTCTCCTTAAGAACTTTAACATGATATGATCTAACAAAAGTCCATATTCAAATTTCCTAACTGTCCCAGTTATGAGCTTTAGAGCATTAAAACAAAAAAATCAAGATTCTACAATGGTATTCCTTCCCCACCCCAAACTGGTTGATTTAGGTCATAAGCACAGCCTAGAATGACCCTGCAGAGTAGAAGTAACACAGGCCACATTGGAAATTAAAAATCCAATACGAGGAAGGACCCCAAATTCCCACTCCCACTTGGACATAGTTGCAAAACACCTTTATCAGTACCTCCTGTGTTCAACCATAATTAAAATTCAAGTTCCGCCTGATTTAGAAACACTGCCCACCCAAACTGGCCAAGGGAGGACCGAGGCAGTGCCTAGAGGACAATCTGTAGCTCTAAATTTTAATAGGGGGAAAGCAAAAGTCCAAAAGGAAATTAGTAAAGCAAACCATTCCAGAGAGTCGAAAAAGAACAATAAAATGAATGCACCAAAAGTTGGGTGTGGGCAAGGATAAGAAGATGGTTCTTGGAGGGAAATTGTTATTCTTTTTCCTCTCTCTCTCTCTCTCTCTCTCTCTCCTCCCTAGCAATAATATCCCTTAACATTTATGTACTTTTCTGAGTCTCAAAAATCTTAGTCCACACTAAGACATGGTCATTTATTGCTGGGGACACCAGGCAAGCCGCTCCCGCCCTCCACGCCTTGGTTTCCACCCGTGGGGCCCCTGGCAAAGGGTCGCCGCGGGGAGTGCTCCTGTTCGTGTGGGTGAGGCGCCCAGGTGGCTGCCGGCACCGAGGAGGCGCCGCGAGTCTGTGACGATCAGCGGTGACACCTGTTAGAAGGAGCTCCTCGGCGGGGAACTGCAGGGTCAGAGGGCGTGTTCCGTGTCGCCAGACACCGCCACTCGGCGCCGCTCGGCAAAGCTGTTTCCACGGCTGGCTTCGCCAACGCAACCGCGAGTCAGACTCTGCTCCTCGCCTTCTCCGGGGAAAGTGGATCCCGGGGAGGTTTTTAATTTGCATTGATTTTCTAATGAGTGCGGCGACGTTCTCCCAAGTCGACGGTGGCTTTCAGGGCCCGCTGCGGGACTCTCCTTGCGGGGGCGGTGGTCTCTGGTGGCCGGGGAGCTGGCGGCGTGGCCAGGCGGGGCTGCGCTCCGGAGCGCTCCTGGGCAAGGTCCCGCGGGGCTGGCCTTTCCCTGGACCCCTCCGGGAGCCCCGGGTTTCTCCTCCAGTCGGGACTGAAACTCCTCATCGCCTCTGACTGCTGTGACAACGGGAGGCCAGTCGCTCCTCCATCCATCACCACCTCCAGAGTGCCAGATCCTGTCCAGGGATTTATAAACCTGTGAGCCCCCGACATCAGCCTCTCAACCCATGGGGACAGCCCTGCCTTGATGTCCTTCATACAGAATGGGAAACTCTAGGCTCAGCGAGGTAAAGTCACTCACGGAAGGTCGCACAGCACTTGACGGGGCTGACGGCCTCAACCCATTCAGTTTCGCTCATAGAGTACCCGACGGGTAAATGGCGCAGGAGGCAAAGATCGTGAATTGAAGAAATGACATTCTGGGGGGCGGGGGAGGCTGACCTCCTGGGGAAGGGGCTGGAGTCCAGGGGGCAGGGCTAACGCTCCAGGAGGAGGGGCTGATGTCCGAGTGGGAGGGCTCACATCCCACAGGGGGGGCCTGAATGTTAGTTTTGGGGGGGCTGGGGACGTAGCGCGCTCGCCTGGCATGCGTGCGGCCCGGGTTCGATCCTCAGAACCACATACAAAC